AGGCCCAGGCACAGCACTGGACAAACCTGCCTGATGCTTTAATCAGCTTCCCAAAGGCTTTAATGGGGAATGGCCTCGGAACCTCCCGTTGGTTCAAATAACTCCTCTGTGCCCACTTTACTGTTTAAACCTGAGTTGCTCTCACCTGGTGGTTCTCAATCCTTCGAGAACATTAGGAGTTTTTGAGGGGTTTTGAGAACAGAGCAAAGCCTGTCACCTCTCTCTCCTCTTCTTCTAAGATGCTTTTTGTTTGTTTTTAACTTTGTATTTGGAAATAATTTCAAACTTAGGAAAAAACTGCCAGAAAAAGAACAGTACAAAGAACGTCCATATAACCTTTACCCAGATTCACCTATTCTTAACATTTTTGCCCCATTTCTTTTACCATTTGCTCTCTTTCTATATTTTGTTTTCTCTATTTTATTTATAAAATGAAATGCTTTGAGAGTAAAATATCATACTTCCTTTCTTAAAATTAAGACATATTTCAATGTGCATTTCCTCAGACTAAGGATAATTTCTTGCATAGCCACAGAATAGTTGTCAACTCCAGTAAACTTAACAGCGACACAAATACTTTTATCTTCTCTATCATCATATTCAATCTGTCAATTGACCCAACCATCTCCTTACAGCATTTTTTCTCTCCAGTGTAGGATCCGGTCCAGGATCACGCATTACAGTTAGTCGTCGTCTCACTGGTGTGCTTTTAAAAGCTCTCAGGTGGTTTGAATGTGCATCCTGGACTTTGGGCCACTGTGTCAATGAATATTTATTTACTACACTAACACATGTTGAGTGTCTGCCAGGTGCAAAGCATTGTAAATAAATTAAGGAGTTTGTTTTAAGGGACAGACTATATAAAAATCAACTATCATATCAGATGGATAAATATCGTGAAAGAAATATTAACCAGACCTGCGGGAGGAAACTTTAATTAAATTTAACAAGCTTACTGAGGGTCTATTATGTGCCAGGCATTGCATGAATGTCTGCAGAAAAAGATAAATAAGAAAAAAATACCTAAAACATTAATAATTAATTAACACATGATTAATTATAAAAGTGAAGTTTTTCAAAGATTTTTCTTGGGGGAAAAGAGACTGAAAAGTAGGATTCAACTCTTAGAGATGAAGACATTTCAGGAGAGGAATCATCGGGAGGCAAATGAGAGAGGGAGGTGTGTGCAAGTGGAGTGAGGAAGAACTGGACTTCACCGTGATTTCAGAAATGGGGGCATGGGGTTGTACCAGATTTTCCTGGAAAAGTAGGCTGGGAAAAGGAAGATGGTACAGTCACTTGGGAAAATAGTTTAGCAGTTTCTTAAAAGTTAAACATGAAGTTACCATACAACCCAATAATTCCACTCCTGGGTATCTACCCAAGAGTAATGAAAATTTGTATCTACACAAACACTTGCACAGAAATGTAATGTTTGTAGCAGCATTATTCATAACAGCCCCAAAGTGGAAACAACCCAAATGTCTATCAATTGGTGAATGGATAATCAGAATGTGGGATAGCTATACAATGGGATACTAGGGAGCAATAAAAAGGAATGAATGAATGATACACGCTACAACACGAATGGACCTCAAAAACATTTGCTAAGACTTAGCAACTAAGTGAAAAAAACCAGATAGAAATTCCACATACTATATCATTTCATTGATGTGGAATGTCCGGAAAAGACAAATATATACTGACAGAAAGTAGATCAATGGTTGCCTGGCAATGAGGTGGGAACAGGGACTGACTACAAATGGGTGCAAAGGACAGATTTCTTCGGGGTGATAGAAGTGTCTTAAAACTGGATTGTGGTTATGGTGCAACAACTCTCCAAGTTTACTAAAAAGTGTTTAATTGTACACTGAAACAGGTGGATTTTATGATATGTAAGTTACAATTCAACAAAGCAGTAAAAATTAAGAAGTTATCAAAATTAGACAGAAAGGAAATAAGAACAGCAATCTTAGAACTAAAAAATATAATTATTGACATTCTAAAACTTAATAGATGGGAAAAACTGTGGACTGGACAAATTATTTACAGGATTGACAAATAGGAAGACAGGATTAAGAAATTCACCAGGATGCAACACAGAGACAAAAATTTTTTTAAATAATGTTTCAAGACATAAATGGAGAGGCTTCCTCACTCACCTGATGACAGTTCCAGAGAACAGAATGGAGCCAATGGCAGAGAAACAATATTTGATTAGGAAATTATTGATATTGAATTAGAGCACACGAGTCCTCAATAGAAAGTACACTAACATCTAGAGAGTTCTGGTGAAATTGCTGAACATCAAAATAAACAAACAAACACAAATCTTAAAAGCTATCAGGAGGAAAGGCAGATTATCTGCGGAAGAATGAAAATTAGACTGGCAGTAGAATTTTTACCAGCAACAACTGTACCAGAAGACAATGGAACACTAGCATCATCTGTGCCAAGGGAAAAGAACTGTTCAATAGGATTTTAAACCCAAATAAATGATCACCCAACAGTGAGGGCAAAATAAAGACATTTTCAAATATACAAAGAATTCCCTCCCTCACCGAGACCCCTACAGAAAGAACTGTTAAAAGATGAACTTCAGCCAGAAGAAAACGAAACCAAAGGGAAGGCTTTGGAGTCAAGAAAAAAATAGCGAGTAGAAGGAATGGTGAAATGCCAGTACATTTAATTAACTCTTTTAATTTAAAAAAACCATTTTTAAATTAAAAACTTAAAAATCTATAGACAATGATGACAAGATGGGAAAGCGGAGAGCTGTTAAATGCGTAAAATACGCAAAGCTCTTTTGGAGGAAATAAGAATTACACGATAACTTCATTAGAAAAAATTACAGCTAAATATGATGTTGAAAACGAAAAGACAATTATGAGAAAAACAGAAATAAAGACTAAAGGCCTCAAACCATCAGTGGAAAATGAGGGAATAGAGAGCATTTTACTAATCCAATAGAAGGCAAGGATGGAGAAAAAGGAAGAATGAAAAAGGATGGTAAATAAAAAACACAATATGATAGAAGAATAAGCCCAAATACATTAGAAATCACAATAAATGCACATGAATTAAATTCACCTGTCAGAGATACAACTAAAATAAAACTTACAGAAAGATTAAATATAAAGAGATGGAAAATATGTAACATACAAACAGTAGCCAAAGGAAAGGTGGCACATCAATATAAACAATGTCTAACAATCAATTAGCATGAAAAATGGTAAAAAGAGGCACTACATAATAAGAATCAACTGAGATTTCTAATGTAGAATATACTTTGAGAAACACTGCCAACTACGTGCTAGGGATCATGTCTGCCTTCTTCACTGTTGTATCTTCAGTACTTGGCACATAATAGGTGTGCCATAAATATTAATGAGTGGAATGATTACCACATTATATTGAAACGATCTGTTTATGTGTCTGCCATACACAGAGCCAGGGGTCCTGTCTTACTCAGTTTTATGCCATCAATAGACAGCACAGTGCCTGGCACATAGTAGGCACTCCGTAAACTGAAACTGAAGTCAGGGTTCATCTCTTATATAAAATCTCTCCTAACTGTTCTTACTCATAACGACTTATCCTTCGTCTCTACTTCTATGGCACTCATAATTTGAAATACCCAATGTAGCAGCTGATTATGTAGCAGTGTCTTTTAGTTTTCTCTCCAACCTTGTTTCTCCAAAAATATTTTAGATTCTTTGAATATAATGTCTTATATTACGCCTAGCGACTGGAATCAATACTTTTTCGGATCTATGTCACTAGATGAATGTAGATTAGCTCAGTGGTGACAGAAGCACATGCCAAGGCCTGCAAGGAGTATTTCCATTCCCTTTTTCCCATCCTTAACTAAAGAGATCCCTGTTTGGAGACAGGCTTATGTTTAAAGAACGTGGAGAAGTTAATAGGAGGGGCTGGAGAAGGAAGCTAGAGTCCAGTTCCAAGTCTCTGTGCTCTCTTCCTTCTGGCAAAATAGGGAGGAAAATGCCTGTGATCCTACCAAAAAATGGGTATGGGGAATGGGAGAGCGATAGGAGGGAGAGTGAGGGAAGAAAGCACGTCCCATATGGTACTGGACAGAACCCGCACCTCACCTCCACTGGCAGGCGTGTATCAGGAGTTTGTTATGAGACCAAAAGGAAATTCCAAGCCAAATTCACCCACTGGGAATTCTGTATAGAAGACAGAGACGGATGTTGCTTCCCATCTACACACAAGGCACCCGAGGGGAGCCTAGGACAAGGAGCTCCTAATCGGGAAGCCGCAGAGGGATAACAAGGGCAGGGTGGCATCTTCTCGCTGGTCTTCATAAGCAAGATGCGGAGGTTCCACCAGGGGCGTGGGATGAGAGAGGGAGATGTGCTGGCTGACGTCCCAAGGTCCTCTGTAATCCCATAATTACATGGTGAATCCTGCACTTCCCTATTTATGCTCCTACACACGTCTGCAACCAGTTTGATAGGAAGTCCCCAGGGCTGCCTTCCAGGTTTAGTACGTGCCACGCAAGCTGCTGGCACTCAACAAATGACTCAAATATTTGTTGAATGAAGGAATAAATGAATCAAGTGTTTAAATAGAGCCCACATGACCTCCCAGGCTGGGAGTACGCGATGAATGAAATCACAACATTCCAGGCAGGATCACGGGAGCAGAGCCGGCAAAGGAAAACACACTCACACAAACACACCCCAGCACTGATTCAACTCCATTCACACTCCCACCCTGGGAGCACAGACCACCTGCTCAGCGCGCAGGCTGGAGGAGTTTCCTTGGCAAGGATCCTCTCTCTCAACTGCTTTAGGATGGTGCCTCCAGAAGGTCAAGGCACCAAGATTTAGGATCGCTGCCCTTCCCGGCTGGCCTCTGAGACAAAGTTTCAGCCTGGATTCGGCCTGGGCTTTTCCTTAGGCGCGTCCGCACTCCCTCCCCGGCCCGGAGCTTCCCGGGCGCGCAGCTGGCCGGCCCGCAGCGCCTCACCTTACCTTGGTGAGTTGAGCGATCTTCTTGCACATTTTCACGTGCATCTCAGGATCGCAGTCCATTCTCCAGCCCGCGCCACCGCGGGCATCAGCTTTGGAGCCCGGGCAAGTCCCGGGCGCGTGAATTTTGCTGTTGAGGGCAGAAGCCATCGCTAAAACGCGTCCAGCGCTCAAGGGCTCTCGCTGGAGTTCTCGCTGCCCACGGTGTGCACGTGAGTGCGCGCGGCCGTGTGAGCGTGTGGGCTGTCTCGGGAGAGGCGGCACTGCAGTCCCGCTGCCCGCACCGCCGCGTGGCCCCTGCTTCCCCGAGGTGTCCGCCTCCTGGCCTCCGCGCGCCCACCCTCTCTCCTCCGGCGCTCGCTCGTTGGTTCGCGGCTCTGCGGGCACCCGCACCCTGCGGCGAGGCGCCGAGGACCCGCACGTGCTGCTCGCGATTTGCGCGCCGCTTTCCGGCTCGTGCGGGTTTCGCCCGCAATGGTAAAGCTTCCGCTACGTGGAGCCGTTGGCCTTGGAGAGGTTTGCGCTGGCTGGGCGCGGTGTCTCGGACACGTGTGTGGCGCCAGGCTCCGGACTCAGCGGCGACGGACCCCTCCCGTGCTGGGCATCCCAGGCCGAGGAGGAAGAAACAGCCTCGGCCTCGGGCAGCTGGGGCGCGCGGTCTGGGGAGGGGGGCCCCTGGTGATGTACTTCGGGGCGAGCGGGTGGCGACGAACCGGGCACCTTGACCGCCGCACTCAGCCGGAGGCTCTGGAGCTTTGGAGCTCGGCGCTGAGGGCGAGATGCCAAGAGAAGGGCAGGGAGGTGAGAGCGAGTCGCGGGGACGCGAGGAGCTGCGGGGACTGGGGCGCACAGTGTGAGCCCCCACCGGGGCTGCAAATTGGATCACCCTTTCCCCCATTTTGGGGAGGAGCCCGGACGTTGGGGGAGGATTGCCAGAGATCACGGAACAAAGGGAAGAAGCCAAAGGGGCGGCCGAGGACCTGGTGACCGAAATCTGGGACGGGAAAGCGCGGAACGCGTAGTGTGGGAAGCAGTAGAGCGGTACTAGCGCAGAGAAAATGTCATCAGAGAGGTAGAAAGGATGGTGGCGGGTGTGGGGAAGGAGGAAGCGAAGAGGAATGGAGGAGCCGAAAGTCTAAGTAAACCGAGCCCCGTGAAAGTGAAGTGAATCGTACATGTCCACCCTCCTGGCCACCAGCCGACTGGTTCCAGAATCCTGACAAATCTTTGGATTATGAGCTTATCTTTTTAGTTTGTCTGGTGAGTGGAGACGTTGGCAGGCCAAATTTCTATGTTGCTTGCTTTCTCTGGTTTCAAACAGTGGGCTTTTAGGAAAGTGATAGCACCTTGATCAGGTTTTCCCGAAGTGTGAATAACAGCGTCATCATAAAAAGTAATTTGCACGGTTAAATATATTTTTTTTACAAACTGCATTATATCAAGAATTTTAATAATCTTATATATATGTATACTTTTTTTTGAGGAAGATTAACCCTAAGCTAACATCCGTGCCCATCTTCCTCTACTTTATATGTGGGACGCCTGCCACAGCATGGCTTAACAAGCGATGTGTAGGTTCACCCAGGGGATCCACGAAGCAGCAGACCCCAGCTCACCCAAGTGGAAGCGGGAACTTAACTGCTTTGCCACCAGGCCCGCCCAAGAGTTGTAATAATCTTGATAAATAAAGCAAGCAAGCTACAGAGGGTCTCAGAAATCACAATCTCATCCCTCCACACTGCAGGTAACAATACCCAATTTTATAGATGAGGAAATAGATCCAGAAAATTTGTACCGAGTCAGGCAATTAAAAGCAACAGAGTTGTGTCTGAAGCTGAAATATTCCTATTCTAAATTCCTTACTTTCACTGCAGTCCATTACACTACATAAGAATAGCAAACCTGGGTTTTGGGTTCCTAGTTTATCATTTTAGGTGACTGCTAAATTACTGTTAATATTTTGAGAAGGTTCTTCTAGACATCGCTCTGTACACACCTAGAAGATGTTATGTACATATGTGTATTTTTAAAACATAAATGGAATACTATAATAATGTTTTTGAACTCTATTCAGTCAATATCCAATGGACATCTTTTTTTCTTGTCAATAAAGATCTACATTCCCATTTTTAACAGCCGGTATACCATTATATACAATAATAACATTTACTTTATCCTCTATTGAACAATTCTTTTAGTTTTTTGTATTTTAATCAAAATGTTTCACATATGTTTATAATGTATGTTTGCTGTATTACAAGAATGTTCAATTCCGTTCTAAAGGACAGGAAAAACAAAAATGAAATATGAAACTCATGTGCCATAGATTTCTTAAGATGTGTTAAGTACACATAGTATACTGTAAGCCATGATAAAGATAGAATGGAATATATGTAAAAAGGATAGAACAGGTAAGAGTGTTACTAACAGATAGAAAAAAGATGGAAAGGCTAAGTTGTAAGGTAAAGATGATGCCACTTTTAGGCCAACAGCTACATCATCCCCAAAATTCATTGTTGACACACATTCTGGCCTCATGTATGTTCTGCCCCAGAATCACCGATGAAACACATGGCTCTCCAGCAGGCCATTAACCAGGCAAACTTGCCCTTGCACATTTCTGAGAGCAAGCATGTATTGGCTCTAGGAACCCTCTATCTGCTGAGCCCCCTTGCTCAATTTCAACTGTGGTCCTGAGAACTGACCTATCAGAGGTGAAGGCTGGTGCAGCAGACAGGACATAACAACACAGCGTCACACAGGATTCAGGTAATGTGGTCCCCCTACCTCCCTGGTACCGTATTCTAAATGTCTTAACCTTCAGTATACTTTCCAACTGACTTCTATTTAAAAGTGATTCAATAAACCATGTGATTTGAGCATCTTAATTTGGGCTGTAAAGTTTCCTGTCCATGACATCTGGGATAGCCTGCCTAGTAATGTATTTGGACGTTACCGTTGCATCAAGATAACTTCCTACACGACATGGTACATGGCCCTTTGCACAGTTGTGCAGGTATTTCCATAGGAATAAATCTTAGAATAAACCAGTTTCAAGGAGTAAGCAGATTTTGAATGTTGATATATTTCACTATACTGTTCTCCAGAAATCATTCCAATTTATACTCTCATTAATAGTGCACAAAAATGCATGTTTACCCATACCCTTGCCAAAACTAGCTGCTAATGGTCTTCAAATATCTTTCACTTTAGTAGTGGAAGAGTGTCTCCCTCTATACCATTTGTTTGATTACTAGGGTTGCTGGAACACCTTTCCACAAATTGGTGAGTTGCTGGAATTAAACCTTTTGTGCATTGTTTTTGCCTGGCTTTCTACTTTATGTTGAAATAACTTTCTAGGCCCAACGTGAAGCTGCTCCTGCCTGGGGTTCCACATCAGCAAACGGAAACTTAGATAGCCTTTGTCGCTGTAAATGCTCCACTTGACCAGAAATGCAGTATATCCAGTCAGCCAACCCCCAAATGCCAAGCCAGCTCTGGGCTCTGTCCTTATTTCCTTGTCCCTTCTCACTCCAAACAAGGTTGACTATGTGCCCCAGCCAATCAGATATTTTCTATTTTTCTCTTCTGTGTTCTTTATTTTTTGCCCTATAAAAGCTTCCTGCCTTCCACCTCATTTTGCAGTTCTCTGAATGGAGACTGTCCGCTTCATGGTGTTAAAGTTTGTTTGTATCACCGAAATGGTCATCTTTAATCTTTTTTAAACACATTACAAGATCTTTCTTTGTAGGGGCTTCTAGCACTTTGCCTGTCACATATTGCAAACATTTCCCTCAGCTAGTTATTTATTTTAGCTTTCTTATTCTCTATGAATATTTTGAATTTTTATGTAGGCAAATCTATTGATCTTTTCTCTTGCATTTTCTAGCTTTTGCATCATGCTTAGAAAGGCTGTCCCCATCTTAGATTAGTTTCTCCTAGCACTTTTCTGGTTTCATTTTTTTTTTTTTTAATGTTTACATTTTTGATCTAGCTGGGATTTATGTTGAGATATGGAGTGAGGTTGGAATTCAGGCTTATATTTTTCCAGGGGGCTAAGCAGTTGTCCCAAGACATATTGAATAATTCATATTTACCACACTGATAGCTAAGTGCTGCCTTAGCTGATTTCATCAGTAGAAATTTACGAAGGTAATCTTTTAGCCATTGCTTAATAATTTTCTTTCCTAGTCAGGTAAGTAGCATGGGTAACTCTCTTGTTACTGTTACTACTGATATACATCTACCACTCATCTAAAAGCAAGATCACGTTCTTGAGAGTTTCACTTAAGCCCTTTACCTGGAAGGCTATTTTCCCTACTCTGCCTTATTCGTACTCAATTTCCAGACTAGTTTGCACGTTCCCAAAATAGGCTCTCATGGCTTTGCATTTCTGTGTAGCGCCTATGTCATACTTTATTTTTAAGAGCTAAAGTTTTCTGTCAAGTATCCTTTTTTTGAGTGAAGAAGGCAAAAAATGAACACAGCTTAAATTGGCACTATGCCTTCATTGTAATCCTAATACACATTAACTAGTAGCAGGGTTTCATTAAAGGTGGCTTGGTATCAGGTCTCCCATCTCATCTCCATGGAGGGAAAATAAAAACAAAAACCCCTTGTCACAAAATGGCAACATCTGCCCTGAGATTACAGTATATCAATGTAACACCACGGAACATGACATTTTGGAATAAAATGTCTTGTGGCAAAATTATAGCCATATTATATTAAATATTAATGTGATCACCATGAGCTCCGCAAGTTGTTTTGGAAACAGTTTGTGGGCAGTGTGAGCCTAGGAACTCTAGCATTGATAGTCATTTTTTCATATTTCCACTTTAAAATTCTGTTAGTGGTGTGTTAGGTGTGAAACACAGGAATAAAAGAAGAGTTGAGTACACGGGCTAAGAACAGTTAATGGCACACGTAGTCTTTCCAATACCTGAAACATTTAACAACCAGTTTGCAAAGTATGATTGACTTTGCCTTGGAGTAAACAGGCAGGAAGTGAATCTGGCTGCTCAATACTGTTGCCTTTCTAATCTTTTTCTAGAGTTCAAAGGTAACTAAACAATAGAACTCTCCAACACTCAAAAAAGGAATGGACCTGAAGCTTTTTAAATTCTCTTAACGTAGCAGTAGAGTCCTCATTACTCAATGGAAACTCAAATG